CTCTTCCCTGCCATCTACATTCCTGTCTTCGTGCTGGGCTTGCTGGAAAACGGGGCCGCCCTCTACCTGCTGACCTGTCGGGTCTCGCACCCCCCGCGCTCCTACGTCTACCTGCTCAACCTGGCCGTGGTGGACACCTTGTTCGTCTGCATCCTGCCGTTCAAGATCCACTACCACCTTCACCACAACAACTGGGTCTTCGGGGACGTGGCCTGCCGCATCACGGGCTGCATGTACTTCCTCAACATCTACCTCAGCGTGGCCTTCTTCACCTCCATCTGCGTCGACCGCTACCTGGCCGTCCTGCACCCCTTGGCGTACATCAGGATCAAGAGCGCCCACTACACCCTGATCGCCGTTCTCCTCTGGGTGGCCGGGCTGAGCATCGCCGGCTCGCTGATCCTGGGAGGGCCCCTCGACGCCAACGTCAGCAGTGCCCAGGTCTGCTTCGAGAGCTTTGGGGAAGCCTCCTGGAAGGGACGCATGCTGCCTTATAACGTCTGCGTGTTGGTTTTCGGGTTTCTGATCCCCTTTGTGGTGATCTTGATCAGCTACCCTCTGATCGCCCGGCGAATTTCGCACATCGCCGAGAGCGCTTTCAAAAGGAAGGCCCTGAACACCATCTACCTCATCCTCTTCATCTGCGTGTCCTGCTTCCTTCCCTTCCACCTCACCCACCTCCTCCACCTCCTGATGCGAGTCGGCCTCATCCAGAACTGCCACTTGGCCACCTCCATCTACCAGCTCCGCCGGATCACCTTAGCCCTGGTTAGCTTCAACTGCTGCCTGAACCCTGTCTTGTATTACCACACCTTGGCCAGCAAGCGGTGCCCCTGGAAGCTCCGGTGGCAAAAACGAGCCTCCAAAGTCTACACCGTCAACGGTGACCGCCCCAACCAGAGAGCGGCGTTAAGGAGCGGGCGATGGGGCAGCCCGGCTGCCAGTGACGCGGTGCTGATGATGCCCCCGAGAAAGTTGGCTGGCCTTTCAGGGGCCGCCGTTTGGCAAAAGGTTTAACTTCATGTGTCGGTTTAGGCTTTGGAGAAGGGCTCCTGTCTGGCTTTCCAGATCCGTGGGGCGTTTAAAATAAGAGCATTGACTTTGGCTGGGAGGGGCAGTTCTCTTGTTCCTTCGTGTTGGGGCAGTTGTGCTTAAAATGGTCAGTCCAATTTTCAGAAAGCAAAGAGATTGTTTAAAATAATGAAGCTGGGGGAGTGTGTGTGTGTGTGGGGAGGTTGGTTGGTTTTTGCCTGGGTCCGAGAAACAAGGACCGCAGATCTGTTTCTCTTGCAGTCTTCCCTGAGCTAAACAGCAACTGAGGTTTGTTTGGTTTTAAGACATCGACATGCCTGTAGCCCTGTAAGCAGAGTTGCTACTGAGACTGCAGGGGATTTCGAGATAAGGAAGGGAAGAGTCTGCCTCCTCATTCCTTGGTCACGATGCCTGGTGAGACTTTGTGCCTTGTGTCTTTCTAACCCTGGGCCAGGGCGTTTTCACACAAGACGCCTGGCACCTGGAAGCACAGGCCATCTGTGACCAAGAAAAACCAATAATACCGAAAGTAAACATTTTTATTAAAACAGAAGAGATGGAACACAAGTATTTACACTGCTCGTTTTAGGGGTACGTCACATGTTTGGGGTTTTAGGGGTACGTCACATGTTTGGGGCAGGAATCGCCCTGCACGCAAAACGAGGCCATTTTGGCAGAAGCAGGTGGGGCCAAAAAAAAAAAAAAAAGGAGGGGGGGGAGAAACCAAGGGTGTTGACAGGTGAGGAGGCAGACAGAAGGGAAGATGAGGTGTGGGGGGATT